CCGAAATGAACAAATCGAGTGATCCCTGCTTAAGATGAACACCAACATAGGGAGCTGCGAAAACGTTAAAATTTAAAGCTAACATAAGTTCTTATCATACATACATGTTGTCGATGTTTTTGCAAAACTGCCCGTCGACCAGTTGCAAACCCGCCTAAATAGCCATTGTGACAAAAACGAGATTTGGTAACCCTGAACTCCAGGCATCGAGATTTATGCATAAGAATCGTAAAATCATTACTGAAACAACAGATTTGTAAAATAATAGCTAGAAAAAATACCACCTATCAAGGCAATTCCTTCAAAGAAAAACCGTTTTTTCGCTCTAATAAAAAATTCGAGTGCCTAAAATAGGCGGTTTTGCAATTGGTCGGTGGGCGGCTTTGAAAAACATCGCAGATTTGTCTATCCGTACATATGTACATATGTACGCTCTTAAAAAGTATGCACGGGAAATTAAAATTTTTGTAACGTTGCTAGAGCACTTTTCAGATTAATGTTTTTAACACCAAATTATTTAATTAACAGCGTAGAACGCTGAAACCAAATCTCAAACGCACTGCAGAGAGTTTTACGCTGTCAAACGACAACAATTGACTAAGGGCCGTTCAATATCCGTGCAGTTTAACGATAAACGAGACGGACGTCGTGGAGCTAAAATTTAATTAATCCCCTGAAGACGATCTCCGATGTTTTAATTCCATCAACACCCTGACCTCAAAGCCGGCATTAAAAAGGATTACTTGATTAAAATCAAAAAGGTCGCAGTACAAAACGGATACAGATTTATCTGACGTCTAGTAACTTTGAAGAAAGCTTAACTTATTTTATTTTACTCATTTTAGTGAAGTTTTAAAAATCCTTTGCTAAAAAAACTTTTGTTACATTATTTTATTTTAAGTTAAAGTTAAAGTTTATTAAAGTAAAAAATCTGTTTACAGAGAAATTATGTCTAGTATTTACATGATCAGTGTTTAGGAATTCTATCCTTTTCAACTTCAACATTTATTTTATTTTATTCCTTTGATTATACATGTTAAATAAAAGCTTGTTTTTAAAAAATATTTTTTTTTTTACATTATATATTTTATTTTTATTTATATAATGAAAACAGCTCTTATAAAGATTTTATTTTGTTGCTTTAAATAGAAAAGTTCTTTAAATGTAAAGTCTGTCTTAAACTGAAGCATTTTCATATAAGTTAAGGGCCCGTGGTTCAATGTATGGCTATCACTAGTACATCATTATCGAAGATTTCGACATCATGCATATAACAGTTGTTGTATTTAACCGGAGCTTCCGATTTGTGTTAATCAGACATTGAACAACGGGCCCTAAGGGCCTATTTCAAACAAATATTTAAACGGCACTTAAGTATAATTGGGGATTGCTGTTTAAATTCCATTTAGCTTTCGTTAGGTTTCAGATCGACTTTATTTAAATATGCCAATCAATTGGCAGCACTGCTGCTTGTTCCTTGAAATTGTTGTTGCATTTGTTTGTTTGTTAACATTTTGTGCTGAACAGCTGATTGTTTTTAGTGGGATTTGGTGGGATTGATTAAACAACCTACCAATCAATCTTGGTTGTTTGGTACAAACCCAGGGTTGCATATCTCATATTTAAATAACCAATATTGGCCNGGAACAGACTACATTTAAGTTCAGATTAAATGTATGATCTGAAAATGAATAGTGAAAGTTAATCAACAATCTCTACTTAAGTAGGCCATTTGAAATTGGGCCTAAGCCTTTTGACCACTTCGCTATGTTAATTATAGACAATTATTTTCCGTTTACCATTACCATCCCATGGCACATGACTATGCAGCATTATCCACATCGCCTTAACAGTATTCAGGAGAAACACATCGTACACAGGGCTGCCAACTTGGCTCAAACCGTGCCATTTTTGGCCGTATTTTATTTCAAATGGCACTTAATTTTTCAATTTGGCACTTTTGAAAAATAATAATATTTCCATTCATTTTTATGAAATCCCTTGCGTGTTGCCTTACTTCTTTTTGTAAACTAAAATTTTCTAATTTCTATAGTGTATACAACTGGTTTATCTTACTTTGCATTGGAATTTCGTTTTAGGAATGANTGGCACTTAATTTTTCAATTTGGCACTTTTGAAAAATAATAATATTTCCATTCATTTTTATGAAATCCCTTGCGTGTTGCCTTACTTCTTTTTGTAAACTAAAATTTTCTAATTTCTATAGTGTATACAACTGGTTTATCTTACTTTGCATTGGAATTTCGTTTTAGGAATGAGTTTGTAATTTTAATGCTAAATGAGAAGAACTAAAAAGAATTACAGCTTTTTTGGCACTTTTATTTTTCTATTTGGCATATTTTGGCACTGTTTTATCCTCAATATGGCACTTCATAGCAAATTATAGTTGGCAACCTTGATCATACTAACTGCGCCTGCGCGATAGTAGAAGTACCTACGTGGCTTTTATTATATCTCTGTATTTCCATAACTCCCTGTGTGAGGAAACCAAGTAATGTAATTCTTAACAGAAGTGCTTAAAACTTAACAGTTTGGCAATTTAAAAAGGAGTGAATGAAAGGGCGTTTTCAGCTTTTCATAAGCGTTTCTTTGTTGTATGTTGTTATATTGTATATGGTCTTTGTACTAAAATTTCTCGTCGAAGTACTTTCGAGTGCAAGTATAGTCGAGTATTTCCTGGCGATACTGTGAGTAGCATCGAATTTTCTCACCGATACTTTTAATGAGTACAGGCATCGAGTACATGGTGGTATCGGACGAACACTACCTTCAAGGGGATGAGACGGTGGAACACTTTTTGAGCTTCTTGCCTGCTTGGTTGTTTGTCATCGATTTTTCTAGATTCGGTCTTTTCTCAATTGTCAGTTTCTGAATTTAAAGTTTGGCATACAAAGCTTTGCGGTTTTGTTGTTTCAAGTTTTGTGTTTTAAAAATGTGTGATACATATTTTTCGCATCACTTTAAAACTCGGAGCGATAAAAATAAAGACTATCACAGCGCACGGCAGTGCGCACGAGTGACGAAAGCAGCCACAGTAGCATGCTGAAATGACTCGCTTATGTATACACGAGATTTGGAAGTTTTTATCCAGACGTCCAACCGACATGTTTGAGGTATCGTTGGAAAGGTCTTGTAGAGTGTGTCCAGAAAATATATTCAAGTTTCATAAACGATTATCCGAATTCTTAAAAATTTGGCTAAAGTGTTGCGAATCAAAAAACGCTTTTGCCGGTTTAAGGGGGCATGAGGGTATACCCGACATATTTAGTGTTATTCTATCGGCCAATACCTTTCAAACGATACCTTATATATTGAGTTCCGGCTACTAGTTGGAAAGATATAGAGACGCTTTGCGATGTGTGTAGCGTCTGTACGTACCTTCATTTAATTTTTTTCAAACTTTCAGGAATTAAAGTACCAAAAAAAAAAGGAAGGTTTTGCTCCAGGATATTTCGATTCGTATGCCCTTGTGGGCGTGGCTGGTGCCTGAAATTCGAAAAAATTCCGTTTTTAAACTACCACTGAGGCCGCACTTCTCATTCCATACCATTCATGTTGATATCAGTAGAAGGGCCATAAAACAAGCTATCTAATGCTGTCTTTTGCGTTTATGAAATATAAATATGTCATAACGTTATCGCCTGAAAACTAAAAATCGGGCTGCTGAAAATATAGATTTCGAGTATTTTCTCAAAAGCTGGTCAGTCGATTTTATTTTAGGTTTCCTTAAGTCTAGCCCGAAACCTTAGCTTTCATTTGGTATATAGCTTATATCTGGAAAAACTCTTGTTGTGGATATATTACGATTCAAATTGAAAAAATGTCGCTCCAAATAGCGAAAAATGGTTAAAAGTTAACATATTCGTCTAATTTGGGTACTTTAAGTTATAAACGTAACATATCCAATTTCCCGCAAAAAACTTTCCGTTCCCCAATGCCACCTAAACTGAAGTTCCCTGCAAATTGGGGGAATTTCGCTGTACGCGATACATATTTAATTAAACAAATAAGAAATGTTTTTATTTTTGCTGGTTTCTTTGTTTTCTTGTACATACGTAAGTATACATGTATGTACACATTCAGTGTGAATGTAATGATATCGTGGGCAGGATATTTGATGTATACAGTATGCAACTATACCCGCACTTAACCAACCTGGGAAGACGCTTACATTATTATCTACATTTGTACATACATATATTGTATGAGATGTTAATGTTTTCGATTTTTGCGATCCCAGGGATCCCAGGATTAGTCCCGGGATTTAGAAATTCATTATTTTCCAACAACTTAACATGAAAAACATTGCATCAATATAGTTTGAGAAGCTGTCCTACCAGACAATAAATAATAAATAAATGGGTTTGAAATTTACTTTATTATTTAAGTTAAAAATATTTCATTAGTGTAATCTAGAGCAATTGGCAACCATGCAGAAATGATAAAATACATTTGGGGTATTCACAACGGTGTCGTAAGTGTCGTATCGTTGTATGTCGTAAACTTTAAACGCCTAAGAAATAAATTAAAGGAGTTCGCAAAGTACCAACATATCATATTATGATTTTTTGTAGTGCTAAAAAATAGTTGGTTGACGTTTAAAGTTCTCTAAACATTTATTTAAGCTTTTAAAGTTTACGACATACAACAATACGACATTTACGACACCGTTGTGAATCGCTCAATTTATTTTATCTAATTCCATGGCGACCATGTACATATTTTATACAAATTTTTCTGTGAAACACAACGAAAGAGAAACTGGAGAAAGAAAATAAATGCAAGGCAACGCTTCGTTAAAATCTATTTGAGTACTTTTTTGCGCAAGGCGAATTTATATAAGGTGGTGTTACTAGCTCAGCTGATTTTGTGTATGTGTTTCGCCGCACGGCTTCTGATATCAAATTGAAAAATTTTGTTTGAATTTCTACACACACTCTTACAGATTTTGACAGTTTATGCCGCCAAAGCAAAAACAAAATACATGTAATTTTTTGTTTTTGTACTCCTGCTATCACCTTATATTAATTCGCCTTGTTTTTGCGCTTCTAGCTCTTTTCTTACGTATGTATGCATGTAGGCGAAACGAGTTTGAAATCACTCAATCCAATTTGAAGTTGCCCTTTCGTTGTGTCGTGCTAAGCAAAAAGGAAGCCAATTGCTATTGAACGTTTGAGTGTGTCAGTTGTTTGAAGGATTGTTGCTGAAAAATAAAGAATTGTATTGTTGCTGCCAAATAAATTGGTTAAATAAATTGTTCCCCGCAATAAACCCTCCTTGTGTTTTCATCAGGTGTGGGGTCGGAACATGACCCGACTAAATAAGAGTGAACTGCAAAACGCTTTAGAAATAGCAGGAATTACGTACCCTGCTACTTCTACTGTGTCTCAATTGCGTGCCCTGTTAGATGGTGGACGGATGGAGAATAGCTTTGAGAATGACTCTGGTGTTGCTGCTGCCGCCGGCGGTGAATCTAATGTTAGAGAATTGAATGCTGATGAAATTAGTGAAAACGAAAATTTGGACGCACAAATAGCTATGCTTGAGAAACGGAAGAAAATGTTATTATTGCAAAAAGAGTTGCAAGCATTAGAATTAGAAGCGCCTAGTGCACGTCAGCGCATCTCCGTTATGGATATTGACGGGATAGTACCAAAATTTTCTGGAGATAACGCTTATCCAATTGAAAAGTGGATCAACGGCTTTGATTATGCCGTGAAGGTCGGTTATAAAGATGACCATTTCAAGTATATGTGCATGCGTCGCCTGCTGTCGGGTACAGCCGTCATTTTCCTGCGCACATCGTCTGCTGAATTGAAAGTAGCACTTTTGAAGCAGTATAAACGCAACATATCGACTAATGACGTATACAAGGAGTTATACCGACGCAGGCGTTTGCCTAACGAGGGCATTATTTGCTACATGTTGTCAATGAAGGAGATTTCAGCACAGGCCAGTTTAGTCGAACACGAAGTAATTAGTGCAGTAATTGAGGGACTGCGATACAACACTGCGTATACCTCAATATTGTATACCGCCAAGAATTTGGATGAACTTCGGGAGCTGTTTATAAGATATGAGGAAAATCGAACGAGTGACAGTGCAACACGTAATATACAACAGCGTGCAGAAGGTGGGACCAAATCAGAATCTAATGTGATATGCTTCCATTGCTCGCAAATTGGGCATCTTTCGAAACAATGCAAGCAACCAAAGCGCGCCAAAGGATCATGCTTCCGCTGTGGGAGCAAAGACCATCTACTGAATCAGTGCAACCAACCATCAACGAAGACGACCGTAAATGCTGTGGCTGAGGAGCCAACCGATCCGGATGTGTACAATGTTGAGCCTTATCAGACTGTAAGTATTGTTTTTTGTAATCGGAACACGAACAATAAGAAGTTTACGAAGTGTATTTCTTTGATTGACAGTGGTAGTCCTGCCAGCTTTGTTAGCAAGACGCTTTTGGCTTTTGATATAACTGACGATGGCCCAGTTCTATCTGATTTTTATAGCTTGGGTGGCACTAAACTCAAAACCTTTGGTAAAATTGATTGTGAGATTTTGCTGAATGGCAAATCTAAAACGCTTTCGTTATTCATAGTATCAGATGGCCTCTTTTCTAAGCCACTGCTTCTTGGAAGAGACTTTTTCACATCATTTATTACTCAACTTTTCATGTTAAATTGTAGTGAAGAAAAATATGAATTAAAGGAATCAAATGAATTGAAATCAAATGTGTCTTTAATTGATAGTATTGTTCAGGTTCCGAAAAATTTGCAACATTGCTATATTGATGATTGTTCTGATGGTCATTCTTTCGCTTCTATTATCGATGGCGAGATTTGTGGGGATATATCCCCAGATAGATTGGTTAGTGATTGTCTTCCGATTAGTGTTCGTTGCGCCGTTGGGGCCAGTATTGGTAAAGAAGCGAATGGTAACATTTTAAGTGAACGGCAAAATGCGGATTGTTTCTCCTTTATAGAAGGGAATATTGCATGTGCAATAGATGTCGAGGCTATTTGTAAAACCAGTGTTAGTATTACTGATTGTGATATTGATTCTACTTTGCATAGTGATGCACGTTTAGCATTAGAACGCATTATACATACGTGATTGCTATTTGAACTGTCCAAAAGAGTCTATGGCAAAACCATATGAAATGTCTATAAAGTTAACCTCTGATCAACCCATCTACTCTCATCCACGAAGATTATCTTATAAAGATAAATTTGAAGTTCAGAAAATCGTGCATCCATTTGCATCACCAATAGTATTGGTTAAGAAGAAAAGTGGTGAAACTCGCATGTGCATTGCCTATAGGGGTTTAAATAAAATTACTATAAGAGATAATTATCCACTTCCTCTTATTGAAGACTGTTTAGAGTATTTAGGTGGGAAAAAGTATTTTACATTACTGGATTTAAAAAGTGGTTTTCACCAAGTGAAGGTAGCTAAGGAGTCGATAAGATATGCGGCATTTGTTACACCTGGTGGCCAGTTTGAGTATGTCATGATGCCATTTGGCCTCAAAAATGCCCCTTCCGTATTTCAAAGATTTATTACATTTATTTTGAAAGATTTCATTTCAAAAGGCCTGCTAATAGTTTATATGGATGATATATTGCTAGCAACAGTGGAGTTAGAATCGGTATTGACACAGATAGCTAAGCATGGACTTGAATTGAAGTTGTCAAAATGCAAATTTTGTCATAATAGCATCCGGTACTTGGGGTACGATGTAAGTCATAAAGGCATTGAACCAAATCAGGAGCACAAAGAATCTGTTGCGAAATTTCCTTTACCAAAAAGTTTGAAGCAGTTGCATTCTTTTATCGGGCTATGCTCCTACTATTTCAGAAAATTCGTCTTACAGTTTTCAAAAATTGACAAACCGTTGGATGATTTGCTAAAAAAACGCAAAGTTTGAGCTCGATGAAGCCTGTTTGAATGCAATTGCGGAATTAAAATCGAAGCTCACTGATCCTCCAATTTGTCAATATATAATCCCAAAAATGAAACTGAATTGCACTGTGACGCAAGTGATCAGGGGTTTGGTGCTGGTTTGCTACAGCGCCAATCAGATGGGAAGTTTCACCCAATTTTTTATTTTTCACAGCGAAGTACAAATACTGAGAGCAAGTATCATAGCTTTGAGCTAGAAACCCTCGCTATCATTTACGCTTTGCGACGTTTTAGAGTTTATCTTGAAGAAATCCCTTCTAAATTATCACTGATTGTAACTCACTTACGCTAACTTTAAGCAAAAATACGCTTAACCCAAGTATTGCTAGAAGGGCTCTTGAAATGCAAAATTATGACTATTCCGTTCAACATAGAGGAGGCGCTAATATGGGTCATGTCGATGCTCTTAGTCGAAGTGAAGTAGTTTTTGTTGTTAATGAAGACGATTTGGAGTTTCAATTGAAGGCGACTCAAAGTCGAGACTCAGATATAGTAAAAATCCGTGACAGATTGATACATTCATTATGTAAACAAAGACGCCTAAACTTATACAACAAATCTGTTTCTTTTCGTGTTGTATCTTTCAAGCATTTGTGCAAAGGAGTAATGTCGCAAAACTCATAAACTTCAATGGACAATATCTCAGGTTTAAAACAAGACATCTCGTTGAGTTAAACAGCATTATCAAGGGGAAATATTTTGCTTTCAAATGTTTTATTCAATTTTGTAAAAAACGAACTATTCTTGATGAAAATACATGAAGAATATAGAAAAAAACGGGTTTTTCGTATGTTTAGGCTCAAAATTCTCGAAAACCTAAGCTAATCGAGCAAAACTGATTTTGGATTCAGGGTCAGCGCAACGAAACCTTTAGAAAAGTATAAGCTAGTCCCAGGGTCTTAACTTTTTTAAATTTTGTAGGCCTGTGTAAGCCATGTGTACAAATCTTGAATCAACCAAAAAATAACAAATTAAAGCCTTAAATACATTTTTATTGCCTTTTTTACGTTTTAAAATCAAGTTATAACTAAATTTTTTTAGTAGCTTTAAAGTAAGTTGTGTTGAAAGTACTGTCAAATAATTTGCGATTCTTAATTCAAGTGTTTGTAAGAAAAATATGTAGTAGAACTCATCTGCGTTTAATAAAATTGTATTATATATTAAATTGTGTGAGTGCTTTATCTATATTATGAGTTATTATTAAGCAGTATTGGTCTTGTCCCACCCGTGACAAAAAAGGTAAGAGTTGTTATATTTAATTACAGAAGTTGAAGTTGTGTTTTGGGTTTGTTACATAAAGTTAGAACTTCATTGTCAATGTTTACCACAATTGCATTTTCGTTTCCACATAGTTAGATAAGAATAATTCAACAGTCAAGCATGTTCCACCAGTGACAGCTACAGGTGGTACAGTTGCCAGAGGTAGATTTACAGGGCTGATAAGCTTTATTGTTTGTGAGGTGGACGCAGGCGAGAAGGGTGGAAGCGCGGACTCGCCCATTACTTATATACCCTTGTGGTCAAGTGTGATTAAGTTAAGTGACATTTTGACCAGTTTTGGTTTTTTCTTTTGTTTATTTAATGTTCATAGTTTTTTTTTTATAAAAGTCTAGCACATTACATAACCAGAACCACATAAATCCACATTTCAAACTTCGTACAAAAATTATAAATTTCAAAAATTTTAACAGTTACACCCAAAAATTTTAAACTTTTTGTTCATAATTTTTAGAAAAATTCTAGGTATGCAGTTTTATAGCGTATTAAATTTAAGTAGAAAAAAGTAAACATTTAAAGACGCTAGGAGATCGCGTTGATTTTTAATATTTTTTTTGGCTGACGGTGCTAGGCTTTTTCTTCTATATAAAAAGCACTATACTAAATAAGATAAAACGTGAGTGAACTGAACCCCTACTTGGCTTCTTATATTTTTAATAACTAATCTTTAATATGGACCTCACTAAAAGCTCCTTTTCATATAAAAATTCATACGAGTCCCACCCGTGACAAATGTTGTCCCACCCGTGACAGAGGAATTTTGGATTTTTTTTAATAATAAAGCCATCCTTTTTGTTGTAGTTTTTGCTTTGTTTGCATTCGTGGTTCTTTTTTTTTATTATAAGACATCAAGTTCACACAGAAAAGTGAAATAAATTCGCAGAGTTTTCGTAAAATATATCTGCTCCCAAAAGCAGGTTATTTTTTTGTCCCACCCGTGACAGAAGAGATAATTCAGATTTTTTCCATATAAAAGTAAGCTGGCATTTTTTTCGTATCTTGTTATAACTCATATAATAGTCAATTAGGTGTAGCTTTATCAAAATGTAGAATTGTTCAGTACTTTTTACTTAAATTTAAACAAGAAAGAAAACTTTTTTCTGTTCAAAAGTCCCACCCGTGACGTTGGAATCGCCCTTCTGTAATGCTACTGCTTCTCAGCCAAACGATCTTACATGTGAAATGGATGGTTTCCAACCAAGCCACCACTCATAAGGCGATTTGAATTCCAGAACCTTTGTAGGCGCGCGATTTCGTAAATACGTTGCCGTATTCACTGCCTCGGACCAAAAGCTTATTGGTACTTTCGATTCTTCTAGCATACAACGACTCATTTCAACCAAAGTTCTATTAGCTCGCTCCGCGATCCCGTTCAGCGGTGAGTAAACTGAGGTTGTTTGATGAAGTATTCCATTTTGTTTCAAAAATAAATCAAACTCCCTGTTTAAGTATTCGCGACCATTGTCGCTACGCAAAATTTTAATAAACGCCCCTGCCTCTTTTTCTGCCTTAGCTTTAAACTTTTTAAATACATTCAATAGATTAAATAGATTTTTGCTTTAAAAAATACGTAGACATATACCTTGTATAGTCGTCTATGAACGCTATGAAATATGAAATGTGAGCTCCCTGATAAACAAAAAATTTTCAGGTAAAAGTGTCACCGTTTTTGAAATATTTACATTTTTTTGAATTAAAAAAAAATCGTACCTTTTCATGTATTTTCTTTAACTGCATCTACAAACC